GCAAAGTGCAGTACCAAAGGTTTACTTCAATGAGGCAGAGCACACGGATAAATCTTCACCAGTGAGTGCGCACATGACAGGTAATGCATTGTAGCACACACAAGCAGCCAACTTGCATGCTGTCAGTCTGGAAAGGGAGTTCCAGCATCTGCCAGCTCAGAGCGCGGTCATCTACAAGGTGTTGGTGAAAACAAATATACCAACGTTTGCATTTTGTACTGAAAGAAAACTAAAGAACCAACAAATTAAGTAGTTGCATAATACACTTTTTTTAACATACAAAATAGCTCCATCAAAAACACACCTATAACTTTTATGATTACATATCTTACTTTAAGGAATCCTAAACCAAACAAGACTGAATCTGCTTATGCTATATTGATACAAAATTCCCCTCTTCCCCTCCCAACAAACACACATATGGTTATCATTCTCTATCCTTCCATACCTCTACAGCCAAAGTTAAAATAAAGAAAGAAAAAAGAAAAAAAAAAAACCTATAGCCTGAAGTTGTGCAGTTGTTAAAAGATGCAAAATACCACACACAGAGTCAAGCATTCTGATAATTTAGCAGGTGGCTTGCCACGTTCCGCATCTAAAATGCATGGCTTAAGAAAAGATAGAAGCCACAAGAGTTTTGTACTATATAGTCTACATGCATGTGACTTGAATGTTAATATTATTTCCATATAAACAATCTCAGTTATTTTCGGGAAGCTAGAGATTTTTTTCTTTCAATAGTTGAAGCGAATGCAGAACATCAACCGTAATTATACATGCACATTAATGGACACTATGTACTAATAAACTACAACATAACTGAAGTTATTTCAGCTGCATCTGATGCAAAATAATCTGCATGGCACATAATTATCTAAATCACATTATCAAAATCAACGCAGAAGGAATAGTAACTTTTAGACAAAATAAATATGCACACACCACACACAGTGTAGCTCATTATTCTTTCGTCTGAGGGCATGACCTAATTAATTCAGTTTTAATGACAGAAAATATTTCCTATAAGAAAAACCATCTTTGCATAATTAGATGTTGTTAGAATTTGTATTTCTTCTAGATGACACAAATATGAAGGCAGCTGGAGTTTCAATGCTGCCATGAACAGTCAACATCCACTCTACTGACTAAATGGTTTTGACTTAATTTTATTTATTGATCCTGGTATGCAAAGGTTACGATGCTATGTACAGCTCATGTAAAATACAGTCTTCCTTAGTGCTATTTCTGCACACAACTGTGAAGCAGAACTAATACATTTGAGTGATAAATACATCAAAGGGAGCATGTCTAAAGCAATAAGCATCTCCTGTGGTGGTGATGTTTATGCACTACAGGAGACATTCTGCTGAGTACGGATGTCCCTTTGATGCAGTTATCATTATTATAATGAAAGCATTAGTTGATTTTATTGCCTTTTAAACACCGCTGTTGTCCACCATAGTGCCATTAAATGAAGCTGTGTTCATTAATAAAGTGAATGGAGGGGCTTTCATTTAGCTCTGGATCAGTTTGTTGGTAGAACAGCCATCACCACATTATTTCCTTGTAGCTACTTTGTTTTAAGGTTAGCACTGGGTTCAACACATTTGTATTTATACGGAGCTTCATGTAAATCTTAATTTAGAACACTGATCATGAAAGTTCCTGTAATTCTGGAAGGTTCACAGAGCTGGATTCATCAGTTTGTGCAGAACCTCACTCTGGATTCAAACATTTCTCTCTCTGAAAAAAGTTCCCATAAAGTTTCCACTTCTGTTTGTTAAAACTCACCATAAATACAAGTCTAGTAACAGGCTTCTGATTAACGAGAGATAAACACTGAATGCTGCAGAATAGCCTTACCACAATAATGTATGCAGTAAGTGTGCATCCCCAAAGAGGCATGCTCACACATAACATTTTGTGATCAAGTACTTATCAGACTTCTGAAATTCCAGTACTGTGTTGATAATCAGGACTTCAGGAATAACACTTCCAGCTTTGGAGGAAGGAAATTCAGATCTAGCACAGCATGCTTTTTTTTCAGTGGATCCCTGATTTTATTAAGTGTACAAAACCTGAGGGTAGCATGAGCAACCTCCTAATTCTGGGATGAACAACATCATCTCCTATCCTGAAGGACCCTGGTAGACATCAGAACCACAATTTTTCATTCAGCAGCTGAACATCTATCTATGAAAGTTGAAGAACCAAAGACAGGATGAAGCAGTGCTTGTCCTGAGCTGGTGGTTGCAACAGTTCCCTTCCAAGCTAGAGGATGGACCAGAAACCTCCAGAGGAACTTCAGGCAAGAAAAGATGTAAGAGCATAATGAAGGAAATTTGCCTAGGGGATGCCTGGAGCATGTTCCAAAAAAAGCTTATATAACCATTTATTTATTGGAGAGGTCAACTTTGTAGAGGTGACTGTAATTTCAATACATCACTACAGAGATAAATGCAATAGAGATAGCATGAAACATTTTTGGCAAAAACAGTGCTATGCATCACAGAAGTTTGGAAATTACTTTTGCTGGGTCAGAAGTAAACCAGCATTATAATACCTACAGTTGGAAATCGGTAATCGACTGCAGCATGGACATAAACTTAATTCACTACCATTGTGAAGTTCCAAATACTTAATAACACAAAGCAGAGCATCTGAAAACAATATGTAAAACTCTTTTTTCCCCTGAATTATAAACACCCAACAGGCAATATAATCAAACATCCTAATGTACATGTCAAAGTAAATTTTATAAGCACATTTTGTGAAATAAATTTATTTAGGATAGTAATATAAATAACACCGTATTTACAGTAAGATAACTGAAAAAGGTACAAAGAATTCTAAATATTTTTAGATTAGATACTCTATATTAAAGAATCCTGAGGGAAGATTAATGCACTCCAGGTGATATCCCTGCAAGCCTTTCTTCAAGACATCCTATAGCGTACTCTTTTTGTGTGTTCTGAGAAGTTAATCAGGGGGTTATTACCATCAATTACTGCTGCTCCAGACGGGTAGTTTTCAAGTAAAGTTTGCCAGAAACTCTCTAGGCAGCTTCTAACTGCTCTGGAAATGGGAGGAGTGCTAGAAACACATCAAGTGCCAACATCACATGCTCTCTTGATGCGTGCTTTAAACAAACATCATCATCTGATATTTGCCAGGAAATCTTAGGTCAGTTATGGTGCATCAATCTAGTGCCTAAAAACACCTCTGTTTTGCATTAAGCTATTTTTTTATGAACATGGAAAATGTCTCATGAAACATATGGGAATTTGAAAACTCTGCTTTATTTATAAAACTAGCCAAATAGTAACTCAGCTATTGATTTTCCCTTTTAAGAAAAAAAAAAAAAAAAAGCTACCAACTATTTCCAACTATTTGCAATTGTCTTTGATTTGTGTCCTGCAGATGAAGGAAGCATTACAGGAAACTACACTAAGCCATGGAACCAGTGAAACACTGCCAGAGGCACTGGCTATTCACTGAATGAAAACACAGAGTTAGAAAAGGAAAATGTCAGTGGTAAATTAAGCTGCAAATTAAAGTCAAATAGGGCAAGGTCAGCAATGCAGAAGCAAGCAGGTGTTCACTACACGCAAGACAGATCATATTAAATGTAAGAAAAAAAACAAATTTGTAAGACTATTATTTTGGTAAGGTTCCAGGTTCGCCCAGGTTTTGCAGATCAGCCTTAGAGTGCTCTCAGGTTAAAGGAGGCAGTTAGATGAATAGGTGGAAGAGAAGTATTTGGTCCTAATGATCCCCGTAAAAAAGTACGCTGCAGCGCTATCCATCACGCCCAGACTGCTGAGCCAACACGTGGGGAATTCTCACTCAGCGCAGGGCAGGACCCCGCTATTGCTCAGGAACAACCTGCAGGCACGGTGCCAGCCGCAGCGCCAAGCAGCGCAGGGAGACAGCAGTGTGCTGGGCACGCCAAGCCACCAGGGCGTCTCTCACACTTCCCTCTGGGACATCATCCAAGTTATTTAAAGACCTGACAGAAGAACGGGGCAGTTCAGCCTGTGTGTGATATGCTATATGCCTACCCGCATTGCTCGATGCCATGGGGAAAAAAAAAAGAAGTGTAAACTGAAGGAATGTGAATTTTCCTCTTTAGTATTTCAGCTGCTTGCTGGGTTTTACATACAGCCCAAAGAAGAATATCTTGGGTAAACTCAGTTGAGAACTCTCTAGAAAAGGAATTCTATCAATTCCATCAATCCTCATTGCTTTAGATAAAAAGTTTCAGAGGAATATTCTGGTTTCAATTACATTTCTACCAAAACCGGTTTTCTGCTGCATACTGTCTGGCTAAATGCATATATAAATAGAACATCCCAGGTCACTGCCTGTAAGTGTGACACCTCCACAGTCTTACAGCCTGCACAACAACTGCACGGGGAGCAGTGGGCTTGTGCACCGCCGCACGCACAAACCCCCGCAGGATGTGGTTGCACAATTGGAGGAGGCTTGCTGGATCCTTTGTTGTGGTTGTTTTAATACATTAATCTTCTCCAGCCAACTGTGTCTTGCATTATCAATCTTTCATTAACATAACCCCTTCTTTCTGAATATTTTTTTTAATACAAGGATTAGTGCAGCTGTGTCTCATCAGACCTCTTGTGTCTTTTTCTGGGACTTTCTAAGGGACCCTGATTAAAGACTGTCTCAGCTGCTGTTCTCTTCTGCATTTTTCCTTCCATGTTGTCACTGCATATTAAGAATCTTATTGTTCCCTTTTGTAATTATGTTAGCACTTGGGCACTTCAAAGAAGAAAAGCATTCTTCGCTGAACGCTTTCTTTCCCTTCTTCTCCCCCTACTCAGCCACGTTTTAACTGAAAACCATTTGAAAACACAGCCGCATGATTCAGAAAGCCTCACCACAGAATGTGGTTCTGGTTTCTCTGTTAACATATGTTGATCTCATTGTTTTCATAGATTAATCTTCTCTAATTGAGTTGTACAACTACAAAACCAACATACCTTTTGCTGTGGTGCCTTTTATGTCTTTAGATGCAAGGGCGCGTAAGCTTTTAATTCTGAAAAAAATTGTAAGATAAAACATTATAGTTTCCTCTGATGAATAGAACCATTGGCCCAGTAGATGAAACACAACTTGATGAGAAGCTGTCTTATGAGGTCTGAATTTTTTTCCTTTCCTATTGCAGTATTATTTTTAAATTAAGTGTTGACTTCGAGTGTTCACCTGCTAACTAAAATTATCTAATAACAGGAAGGTACTGAATGTACATTAGACTCTTTAAAACCTATTAACTTTCTGGATTTCTTTTTTTAAATTGCTTCTTTCATAATGAAGTGCTCCTCCAAATTGAGCAATTTTATGCACTGAAGTTTTTAAAGGCCGCAGAAGCACTGCAGTTTAGGGGTCTTTTTCATTACTATCTGCAGACCATCTGAATAGTACTTCAGGGCTAAACAAAACGTCCATTTTTTGTAAGTAACTATTAGCAGAATGTGGATATTTTAGCTCAATGTCATCACAATTATAGCAAAGAAAATTGGAAGATATATTTGTAATACAAACTGCTAACTACTTTCAGCTGGCAACACTATGTCCTTGCATAAAAATTATGCTATTATATTCTATGACTGTGCATGAAATGTATAGATCACAGCCATTATAATTGGAAAAAAGCAGGAAGAAAATACACAAATCATTTGAGTTGCCACAGAATATACTCCTAACAGTATATCTCTCTATACCTCTACAACAAGGTAGAATGCAAAGTTAGCTTTAACCTTTGCAGGTATTTCCCTTTGTCTGACCTCTCTCCGAAATAACAGATGTTTCCTAGAAAGGCATTTTAACAGGAAAAACCTACAAACAAGCAGTTGTATAAAGAGGGCTAAAAACAGAGCTCGAACACATTTGTGTCAGTGAGCATTCGATGGTACATCTGGTCCTAGGCAGAAACACAAATTCCACAGAATTCTATCCAGGAGTTTTAACAATTAAGTAGGATCAGATTTTGAACTGAAGGCAATAAGCAGATTTTCAACTTTTCTAACGTGCTCACAGTATAATATCATACTGGTTACTTTCTTCCAACATTATGGCTAGATTATATGCCCAAACATGAGAAATATCTAAATGAATTTTATATAAAGATGTGTACAGCCTTAGGAATAACATTAAGCTTCTCCAAACAAATTATCTGCTCTTTCAAAGTACACCAGAAATGTCTCTAAAAGAATGTGGCAACTATTTTGAGAAAAATTATGATTTATGCATTTGTTCTTTTCTTATCAGGTTAAGAAAATATCCAATGTGAGGGCTGCTCCAAAAATAATGCCTCCTATTTCATTATGTTGGTCCACAAAATCAGAGGCAGATGTCGGTGGTATGGCAGTAGAGGTTGAACATTCCCCCCAGTACTCCGTTATATTTTGTTGCCATGTGACAGATGGCAGCAGAGGGGCAGTCTGACGGAATGGCATCTGATATGGAAGTGTGTATAAAGCAAAAATGTGGAACTGAATTCTTCTATGTGGAAAAAATGGCACCCATTGACATTCACCAACACTTCCTGAACATATATGGAGACCAAATCATGGTGGTGAGCACAGTGAAGTGATGGGTGGTGCATTTCGGTAGTGGCAACAGTGGGTCACCTCCACTGATGCAGATTTTTATGAGCAGGGCATGCAGGCTCTCGTTCATCACTGGCAAAAATGCTTAACTAATGGTAATAATTATGTTGAAAAACTGCTTTGTAGCTGAGGATTTGGTCTATCAAATAGTGTTATTGTGCTCTTTGTATCTGTTGCAGTTTCCATGGAAACAAATAGGATGCATTAATTTCAGAGCAACCTACACATATAAAATTTGCTTTGAAGATTTCTTCTTTTTACACGTCAAAGAAAAAAGACACCGGAAAACAGCTTTATTCACTTCCATCTCCTATATTCTGCCTTAGTTAGTACTCTCTTCTTTATATTTCCCTCCATTTTCCACTGAATAATTATTTTATGGACCACCTATTGCCCCTGATGTCAGAGGGAGTTTTTTGCACAAACTAAAGACAATGTATGGCTCTTCATATCTAGTTATTTTTTCCAACTGCCTAAGAAGCTATTTTGTAGACTTTCTTATAAATTCATGGGGGAAAAAAAAAAACACCTGAAATTTACTATCTTGTCTTCAGATACCTATGAAATGTATGATAGTTCTACAATTCATAAAGTAAAATAAGGATGATTTACAGCATTCTGCAACAACTGATGACAACCAAGGACATTCTCAACACACTGTTCTTGTACAATAGGCCATAAAAAATGCTGCAAGTCATCATTTACTATCCTACCTTTCTGGTCCTTCCAGGAAAGGAATTGAGCCACCCCAGCATCCCTATGGTTGTGAGAGCTGTCCCTGGGTAGGAGGAGATGGGTTTTAATCTCAGCAGCTATTAGTTTTCCTGCATCTCACAGCTTAAAAACCAGCACATTTTTCACAAGTCAAATATTTACCTCCTGCTCACTTTGTGCTTTTAAATACTATCACAGCTTGGCTAAAGTTGCAACTACAGCTGCAAGCTTTGCCCAAGATTACCCAAGAAACAATTCAGAACCTAAATATTGTTGTCCCATTGTCAATGGTAAATTCAGATTCACTGCCAGGTTCAAGGAAAGAGGCCCTATTAGGAGAAGGAACTGCTTAATAGTCCAATATACTCCCAGACATATCACAGGGGAGTTTAAAATTATTACATCTACTGCCTTTTCAAAACTGTATTTCTTTCTTGACATTACAATGAAACGTCTACTATTTTACTGAGAAAATCACTTCTATGAGGGCACGCAAACCAGTGGACTGCAATTATTTATGTTTTATGAGATCCAAACTATCATAATAGGTCATGTTCAGATTATTTGTATGATTGGGAGAATAAACTCTCTTTTTGTGTTTCTGTGATATTACCTCCAGAGTGAGGCATGTCATTGCTACTGCCTTCCTGGCATTTCTCCACCTTATGCCTCATAGTGCAGAGACTAATCCAGCCAGACACCAGATTCTGTGTCACAGAATCACAGAATTTGCAGGCGTTGGAACAGCTCAACCCCTGCTAAAGCAGTTCCCTATAGTAGGTTACAATGCAAAGCAATGAAGCAGCTTTTTTACCACTGCTCTCCACATAGCTCTCAGCCTGTCCAGGTCTCACCAAATAGCAGCACAGATTTTTGGGGGTTCATCCACTCCCCCCAGCTATGCATCCCCTCAATACAGTGTTCCCATGGCATCTGGAGGAGCAATCAGTCCTACATTAAGATAAACCATCTTTCACTGTCTGTTCACTACATATACTACCTACTTACTGTACTGTGTTAGATCTGGGCTCTGCAGGGACCAGCTGACATTTGTAACATCACCATTTCTAAGATTCTTCTTTTCCTCTCCACAGTGTTCCCCTCATAGCTATTTCTTATTCTTTTAGGAAGTTTTACTTAATCTTAGACAAACTAAAAAATCATCACAACTGATAGCGAAAACCAATGGCAAATGTGTGCCTCAAGAACTCAATTCACCACATGATCTCAAGACGGTTGAATTTTCAGCAAATAAAATAATGCAGTAACTCTGCAGACAAGCCTTCACATGTACAGGGACAGTGGCAGGCACAGTAATAGAGAAGTTGGAGTCACCCCCGAGGAGTTAGATCACTCTTTCCTCACGCTTGTTCATGGACGATCCCCTAGAATTTATCTTAACTGAGATTACCACAATAGCATGCTACCCATTGTATGAAAGGACTTTTCACTCTTGTCACTACAAGACCAGAAGCCCTGAATTACCATATTCTTGTTTTAACTCTGTTATATTTCAGCTACTTAAGATTTCTCCTCTATTTCTCAATTTGTGAAATAAAATAAATAAAATGCAATGCCTTCATTTAGAGTACTCTGAGAAGTTAAGCAAAGTAAGGGTTAAACAGCTAATATTTTACTGAGCTTTGAAAACAATGTCTGATGATCTAATGCTCTCTTTTCTCGACAGATGGCTTAAAAGAAATCTGGGAAGCCTTACCCATGGAAAAAATTACTAGCCTTAAGAACAATTCATATAACAGATATCTGAACACATGGCTGCCTTTCAACACTTATGCTTAAACTAGGAACAAGATTCAAAAGCCAACATCCTCTATAAACTTTTCTCTTTGCAAAGATCCCACGTTACATCTCTTTTCTCTCTATCCTCAAGTGCAACCTTGCCATACTATTTCCTGAGCTCTTACTGAAGTTACTACAGAGAAACCAATATCTACATTATTTAAAATTACTATGCAGTATTTTAACATATTTTATAAAGATAAAAGCTCACTAATGTGAACAAATAGTCTCAAAATACTAGGATTATTATGATTGACAGAATATATTTTTTTTTTCAATAACTACTTGGTCAAAAAAAAAAAGACTTCATCTCAATTCAATGTTCTCAAAAAAATTAAATTAAAATTAAAAAAACCAAACCTTTGCAATGCCTTGAAACTAGCATTTATTCAAAATGAAATTCAAGTACATATATATATATATTTTTACTGTTTATATTGCAACAAAGAGAAAAGAAAGATTTTCATTTAATCTGCTTGATTCAGTGCTGAACGAAATCCTTTTTCCAATTTCTCAGAACTGCAAAACAAGAACAATGGGAGTTTGTCTAATGATAAAGCATTTGGACAGGTATTTTCAGTGATCCAAGCCTTATCCTCTTACTGCCTTGCTCTTAATTTATCCCAGTCATTGTCATTGCCCTGTGCCTAGAACCCATACACGGTGCAATCTTTCTACTTCACCTCATGTCCCATATCTCTATCGATACATCTGTCCCTTTAAAATGGCACTTACAAAACCATCCTATTTGCTGTCAGTAAGACTGACTGATACTTTTTCCTAACTGATCTGCTGATCTTTGATGGCCATATGAGTGGAAACCATCTTCTTCAAGTCATCAGAAGATGCACACGGTGACAATCGTTGTAAACAGCAATCAGGATCTTAAGGAAAGGCAAGAATATCTAAAGACAG